AAGAGAGGGGAGGGGGGGAGGAGGGACTGAGAGGGAGAGGGACAGGGAGAGGAAGGAGAAAGAGACAAAAGGAAAGGCCAAATGGCAATTCTAGAACTGAAAAGAAAACTGAAAAAAAATTATAGGAAGGTCTTATTAGCAGAATAGAAAATATGAAGGATATCATAGAAAGGACAACTAAAAGAATCTGGCACTGGCAAGTCTGTAACACAGGAAGCACTTGATTAATTCCATCTGTAGGGAAATTAATGAAAAGCATCAAAAATAGTAAACATTGGAGGAGGGGGTGAAGGGAGGGCAGGGACAAGAGGAAAAAATGAGAACCAAGACCTGTCATGTAAACGTACAAGATCCCAATGATGAATGTAACTGTACTGGGTACCTAAAATGTACCAATAAACTCTATGAGAAAAGAAAATAGTAAACATCTGAGTAATTTACTATTACTCATTTTTCTATACATACATTGTCAGGCACTTAGACATATGTAATTACAGTATATTTAAAATGGATCTCATTAAGATCATAATGTATTACAACCACTCATTTTACAGGTGTAACATCGGAGGCTCAGAAAGAAAATGAGTTCCCTCCTCAGGGCCTTAAAGCAGTCTTGAGCCTCCAGCCTGGCTCTTGTACCCTTCTGTGCTACTTTACCCCTCAGCACCAACTTCAGACCCACTGTGGTACACAGCTCCACATCAATCAGTAACCCTTCCCAAGTTGTTTCTCTCCCCACCCCCCTAAAATGGCCTTAACAATGCTAACTACGCGGCAGGAGTCCTATGAGTGTTCGAAACTGCAGTGTATCAAGATCTTTGAACACTGGCATGGAGACGCAGCCCGGCACCAAGCTATGATAGCACCTGGTGCCTGCATTTCCTGAAGCCGGCTGCAGCTTCCTGCTGGCATAGTCCAAGAGCGAAACAAAGGGTCACAACAGAAACCACTCCAAAGAAAATGCTACTGCTCTGTTCGCCACAAATGCATATTGCATACATCGTGTTTTAATTTTCTTTCAACTAAAAGTCTTTTCTAAGGTTTCCTGTGATTTATTTTTAACCCAACGGCTATTCAAAGGAGACAACCACGAAGTTTCATTTTTTTCTTAATCCACTAATTATCAGTATGAGAGCATCAGAGTGAAGATATGAGAAAAAGAATAAGAGCTATTATTCATAACTTTGGAATCACTGCCAGGACAGATAGCTATTAGCAATAAAAAATAAAGCAAGATGAATATGAACCCAAGACAAATGCTAAAGTTAAAAAAAAATTTAGTAAACAAATTTGAATTTAGATGACATGGTATTTCAGTAGGCAATCACTGATCACAGGAGAAAAATACATAATCTCAACATAAAAAAACTCCCATTTAACTAAACAATGGTTGTTAATATTCCATACATTTATCTATATTTCTGATTTTTCAAATGTGTTCATCATAGAATAGGAAGAATGCCCCACATGAATTTACGTGAACAGCAGAAAAAATGAAAAGCAAAGCTTAGCTCACATGTATGAACATTCTTAATAAAATACATACACTAAGTAATGAATGTAACTGCAAATAAGCTTAGCTCCACAAGACAAGTAAACAACCTATGTAGAGTAAAAGTGTATCAGCAAGTATTTTGCAGAAGGGCTGGTATTTTATTTTACAACAGATTTCTTACATACAAAAGACCAGAACATTCAGAATTCTGTTTAAAGTCATAGAGTCGCTGCTGATGCTACCTGTCTACTTACCATTTCTTCGACATAAGGGTATAGCATATCTCCAAAGTATTCTGTAGCTTCAATTGGGAGCTGTGCGGGCAAATTGTCAATGGAACACATCAGAATTCCAGAGCCTTCAACACTAGGAGAAGCAATACGCTTTTGTCAGGTGTATAAGAAGTTAGTACAATTATAACTTTTCCTACTCCGTTATATTTGGTTTGTTGTCATTTGCAATGTTGTACAAAGGTATACTGTATAAGAATAGAAGCAAAACTTTTCAAACAAAATCTTTTCCTTCTTCAGTATCTCATCTCCCAGTTATATACAAATATATATACATTGATGTGATCGAATTTGCATGTGATTTTCCTACCAAAATTTTTAATGTTTGAGAGTATCTGTCCAAATTTGCATACTTTCATAAAGAAGAGAAATACTGAGTACTCTTTAAAGTACCTCAAGGTTAAGGACAAAATTATTACTTATTTCTCATTGAACAGGTTTAAACAACTCACCTGTCATGAATAATGTGCTGGTCTGCATCATACATGCAAAAGGGATGCTCTATTGTAGTACACTCAGTCATAAAATCTATAGATCCTCCTGTGTCCGCTGAAATGTCGCAGATCGCCACCAATCTGAAATATCAGTACTTAGATGAGAGGATGGAATTCTGAAACTCTCAACAAGAACAACAGTGAATAAAAATGAAAAGTACTCGGCACACTTTTCAGTGTAGATGCCAAACACTTCCCAAGCTCTTCGGCCTTTTTTTTTTTTTTTTTCCTACAGTTCAGCCTTTAGGACAATTACTTTTTCTGAGATAATCAGAATTCTCCCACTATGAGTTTTAGAGTCCACAAGAAAAAAGATAGTAATAGAAAGGAGGGAAAGGAGGCAGGAAGAAAGGAAGAAAAGAATCAGAAGTAGAAAAGCCTTTCCCTAAGAAATCACTGGCAGGAAATCGTTAATGTGGGCCTGGGAGTGTAGCTCAGTGTTGGAACATTCACTTAACATGTGTGAGGCTCTTGGTTTGATCCCCAGCTCTGAAAAAAAAAAAAGTTAACTTAGCCATCTCCAAATAAAACACAAAGCTTCAGTTATACTACCTCTACTCTGCCTAGTACAATGGGCCCTCTTCATCCAGGGTTCTGCATTTGTGGAATCACCTGAGTTGCATAAATATTTTTAAATTACATCTGCACTGAATATGCAGACTTTTTTCCTTGTTGTCATTACCTAAACAATATAGCATAACAACTATTTCCATAGCATCCTCATTCTACAAGATACCACAAATAACCCAGACATGATTTAACAGGAGGATATGCATAGGTTATATGCATATACACTGTTTAATAGAAATGACTTGAGCATACAAAAATATTGATATTTTCCGGGGTCTGGAAATGACCTCATGGATACAAAGAGACAAGTGTACTACTTAATTGTATACCTAATTACATGGAAATGTCTAGCCCTATCACCAAGTCTCAATTCAGCATTTAAAAGTCTTCAGACAGGTCACAATTTTCCTGTACAGTCTCCTATTATCATAGTTACATGAACATACACTGAGGAGACACTGTCCCACTGTACAGATTAAACTGTACTGGTGCCTCCGTACGTAACACACACCATTCCCATCCCATGGAATTTTCATTCCCCTCACTGCTCTTTTTAACACTTTGCTAAGAGCAGTGTGTCAGCCACTAGGCAGGTGCTTTGGGGAACAATCGTCTATTTATTCTTCTTGGAGGAGGGAGTTGCCCATTTCAATAACTGTTACAGTGCCCACAAAGTTGTTTCTTTGTTTTAGTTACATGCCTCCAGAGAAACTTTCAAGGAACCAGCCCAAACGATCAAGTCATCCTTTTTGGGTGACTAGATTCAACCTTGCTCATTATAATACTAAATTTTCTACAAAGAAGCATTCCCACTCCCCATTTTTTGCACACGAGATACATGAAGAAGCATGACCTTGAGTGAGCATTCCTGTACATATAATACGGAGTCTTTCCTATATGAATATGAGTGTAAAAGCCTCCGTGTTTATTTGCTCAGAGAGACATGGTTTTAGGAATCATCCCAGTGCTTTTCTTACTTGCTACAAGAAATAAAACTTTCTTCATTCTTTTAGGTCCTAGTTATCTGTCAGCTTTGCATTCACCCAAGGGCAAAATCTTCATGTTTGGGTACAAGTGCTTCAACTTTCTTCTAAACTCCTGTGCTAGCGTTGCTTCCAGTGTTCCCTTGGCATTAGCTCAATTCCTGCTACACACCTGAGAGCAACAAACATATCTCTGACCTTTAGCTTAGCAGAGTGCCAGGCAGATATAACATCCCATGAATATTTACTTATTAATTCACTCATTCAAAATAATAATTACTTCAGTAACTATTCCATCATGAGCAATATACCAGCTGCTTGTGAACAAGATGAACAGGGACTCTTAATTCTAAGGATATTAAATTCTAGTACGAGACAGGAAAGCCATAAACAGAGGAAAATGAATAATCATAAATTGAGAGAAAACACCATAAAAAACTAGAGCGAAATGGGAATGGGAAAGCAGAGGAAAACTTCTCTGGAGAGACTGCTTTGGGGCTCTGTATGAAGCCACAGAAATCAGAAAAAGATTTCAAGAAAGAGTGAGGGTTAACTATGCCGCCAAATGGTTGAGTCAGACCATCACTAGCAATCAAGTTCTCTGATATGTAGAACCATTATACCCTGTGATCCCCTAACAATGCTGCTGAAAAGTGCCATCAGTGCAGAAGTAAAGCCCTTACTTGTGTGGTAATTCAGGGCAGCCTTCAATAGCAGCTACTGTGGACTTGACTGGAGCCAGGAGACTTTGAGCATCGTGGCGGGTTAGTAGGCGAGGGGTATTTTGTTCCCAGTAGATTCCATTAATTAAACAGGTTGTATAGGGTGCGATCTGTAAAGCAAATTCTGCATTCAACAAGATGGGAGACAGCCCATTTCATTACAGTATGCTGAAAGAGCTACCCATAAAGTCCACGAACAATCATTATTTTTACTTCTAATAAATGTTTTTTGTTTTGTTTGGTACCCGGGATCGAACTTGGGTCCTTGCGCTTGTGAGGCAGGCAGCAGAACCACTGAGCTAAATCCCCAGCCCTCTAATAAATGTTTTTTGTTTTGTTTGGTACCCGGGATCGAACTTGGGTCCTTGCGCTTGTGAGGCAGGCAGCAGAACCACTGAGCTAAATCCCCAGCCCTCTAATAAATGTTTTTTATTGTCCGGCTCAATGACCCTCTTCAGGGGCAGAAGTGCCCACTGAGGTTTCAGTGTAAAAGTACAACATAACAGAAAAATACATGAACATACAAATGCACTAATATTGTTGCTCCATAATATAATGCCCAGCAAAGAAAGAGAATCAGGATTCCTAGAATTGATACTCTTCCAGCTCAAACACCAGGAGTATGTGATCTAAATCACAATTTTTCTGGGCTCCACTTTTCTCACCTACCAGAAGAGGATAAAGAATATTCCATTCCTCAAAAGAATGCTGTGAAGATTAAATCAGATAACATGTGTATGCGCCATGGAAAAATATGCTGTATTCATGCATACATGGTAATTACCTCCTTAAATGTTTCTGCATTCATCTAATCACCAGTACTTCTATGACTGAGGATAAGAGAAAGAATGAAAATTTGCTAGATTCAAAAATTTTCAGCTTCAAATTAGTTTCATAATTTCTGTTCCTCAAGTATCTCAAGCACACTCAAGCTAGATGTAAAAGTTCTTCTTTATAACATGCTGTATTAGCTAAATTTCATATCAGAGTGTAAAAGTGCTGTGTTGTTCAAATACATTTAAAATGAAAGTATTCCTTTTCACAATAAATGCATATATTTTTGTTTGACTTTTTTTTAGTTTATCGATTTATTTTGAGGTCTGTTGCATAATTGATGTCACAGATGCACAAATAAATTGTATTTCTTAGAAAACAAGGCCAATATAGCCCCCATTAGAAGGACTTACATTGTGAGTGGCTCTTTTTTTGTGCAATGAGGATAGGTTTGCGCCTCTGTAACACCACTATTTCACCCAGGACCCTGTAGTCAATGACCTGTGTTTCAAGATGGCCCCTGCCAGTGTCTGGATGTTGAATTTCCCACCTTACCCCACCCATACATAATGCCCATGTGTTGAAGGCTCGATTCCCTGCCTGTGACACTAGCTGGAAATGATGAAAACTTTAAAAGATGAGACCTAGTAGGAAGTCTTCAGGTCACTGAGAGTGTCCGCTTCAAGGGAATATCAGGACCCTGGTCTCTTCTGCTCTCTGTCTTTTCTCCAATTTAAGATATTACTGCTTTTGCTGTTGTTATACGCAGGTTTTACCAGAAACCAAAACAATGGGGCTCACAATGTCTTGGAATTAAACCTCCAACTGTGAGCAAAATACATTTTTTTCTCTTGATAAAGTAAGTTACCTGGGGTATTTTGTACTAATGCAAATCGGGTAATAATGCAAATCTAGCTAATACAAAAAATGGTGCTGGGCATGTGGATTACTATAATTAAACTGTACCTGAAAATGTTTAGGTAGCATTAGAACTAGGTGTCTGGTAAAGGTTGCAAGAATTTGCAGGAGCAGGCTAGAAATAGCACAAAACGTTTTTAAATGGATCATTATTGTGTCATGGTAGCTGCTACGTAGATTTCAAACTAAAGCCTGAGAAGCCAGGCAAAAGTTCACTGCAGAGTTGAAGCCCCTGCAGTGAGTCCTCATGTGGTGATGCTTGCTGACCTTATAGGTATGAACACAAACGGGAGTCCAGAAAGGCAAAGCAACACCCACTGGGGAAAGCTGCAAGCAGCACACCACAGAAGCCATGGAAAGCTGCAAGCATCAGTGTGCAGCCCACAAGAGTGGCAAAATAGATCAACAAAGCCATAGGGGCTACAGCTGCCCAACATCTTGAGGGCCCATCCTTTGGCTCACTGTGCACAAGACACTGGATTTGGAGCTTTAGGGTTTAATATCTGCCTTGCTGGGTGGTGATCTTGTTTTAAACCAATTATTCCATTCTACTTCCTTGTTTCCTCTTTTGAGAATGGAACGCTTGCCCTATGCTAGTTCTGCCACTCTTATCTTGGAAGTATGTAACTTGGTTTTTTTTGTATAGAGGCACCCAGTTGGAGGAGTTGGCTTTGATGTTTAGTTGAGACTTTGGATTTTTGAGTCAATGCTAGCTGAGTTAAGATTTTGGAATTACTGGGGAGAGAAAGTTTCCATGCTGAATGGGGGCTGGGGGAAGGGACACAATGCTATGGTTTAAATATAGTTTGTCACCCTGAGCTCCTGCAGAAGTTTAACTCCAAAAGTCTTACATCAATGGTATTTAGAGGATAGAAATTCAATCTAGCCATAGTGTTTAAAGGTAGGGCCTTTGGGAAGTTACTATATTAGACCTAATCATCAGAGTAGAGCCCCCAAGATTACATCCTGGTGACTCTATTAGGAGAAGGCAAGAGACAATGGAGTCAGAGACACACATACACTCCCACCTTGATAAGATGCAGCCATGTGCAACCCTCACTGGAACCTGAGCCCTGCCATCTCGACTTCAGCCTCTAGACTCTGACATAAACAAACTTTTTTCTTTTTAAGAGTCTGTCTTATATCTTTTGTGATGAAAAGCCAACTAATGTGCCGGCTGAGGTTATGACTGCAATTTGTGCCTATCGAATGAATGTTAAGATTAAACCTCACATGACATGCATTTTGCTTTGCCAACAATACTAACTAGCCCAGGAATATACAGAAAAGTAGCAGTCCATGGGAAATGGTTTAGAGCAATTGGGTGCATGTAGAACTAAAATGGAAAGCGTGGAGAAAAAAGCATTCTGACAAAACACCCACAACCCTAACAAAGGCCACTACAAATACCAGAAAAAACTCCTAAGACACAAAGGGTTCACAATAAGTCAGTATGAGTAACTTAAAACCAACGTACAAAAGCAGTTTCTCTCTGAAAATGGCCTCACTGTGGTACCTCATAAGCAACCAACTCAAAACCTTACTATGATACTCACATTGGAATTAAAGCGACTAATGTAGCGCTCAGGATGTTTGTCATACTCTACGGGATCATACACACCATCGGTCTTCCTGACAAGATGATGATGGCGACTTAACACTGTCCCGTACACTTTTCGGAGGTCTTGCAGAGGAAAAGGAAATTAGTAAATTGGGTGACTAATGGTAAAAACTTATAGTGATAAAATATTATAATACAAAGGCTGCTCAGAACAATAAAAATATTATCTTTTCCACCTCTTACCTCCAGTTTTGGAAACTTCTTTTAATTCATGAGGTTCCACATATTCACAAGGTAGTTGATTAAAGACTTCTTGGGCTCCCTGTAAACAATGCATGAGTAAAAATCTAAAACTCAGTAGGAAAAGAGCCAACATAGTTTCCTATCAAGATTTCAATTATTTTCTCCACAATTTTATAGCTCCACTTGCCCTGCCCTGTGGCCAGGACTGCAATCCAGAAGTATAGATGATTTCCCGCACACAGCCTGCAAACCAGCTTTGATTCCAGTCTGAAAGCATGCATTAGAAGCAGCTTTGACTTTTACTTTTTAAACTACTCAGAATAGCAACAATAAACTGTTTAGAAATGTGGATATGATATTTCTATTCACTTTGATCAAATGCAGAAATTGTTTCAAGTGGAAAAACTACTTCCTACAGAAGAAAAAAAAAATCAGAGGTCAGCATCACAATACAATACTAACAGAGATATCTATTTAGAAAATATTTTTCTTGAAGATATATTTTTCTATTTAAAGTTTATTTGGGAGATTACAAATGCATTCTCAAAACCACACCAGGAAAAAAAGTATTGATTTCAGTCTGGAATTAATCTTCCTAATGTCTTCCTGGCAAAAGTCCAGGTTTTCTTGAAACGTGTGTATCCTGGAGTCACTTGCACATTTTTGCATATCCCAGTGAACAAGGAAAAACAGACCACCAAAGAATACAGCTTGACACCCTTAAAATTAGTTGTGTCAAAGAAGGAAGGAGGGAGGGAAGAGAGGGAGGAGAGAGAGAGGGAATTGCAAGCCTCTGATAGCTTGGAAGCAATTAAAAGCAAAGAAAATATTTGAACTATTATTGCTTTTTTCTATAAGAAAAATATATAAAATGCCAAAAATAGAATGTCTATTAATTTTATTTGAAATATTTACAAAATGCCCACATCTTCAGGTTTTCAGATTGTTTTGCAGAAGGAAGACAGGTGGAATTTACCTTAGATACATTACCAGTCCCTGTGAACACAAATGTTAAGGGCCCTATCGACTTTGGCATTAAACCCAGAGATATTTCATAGCCGGCATCACGGACAGCTTGGACAGCCTGGCTGCTATTCCTATAGTTATGCGCCATTCCAAGATGCTGAAAGCAAGCAAGCACACACAGTTCAAGTTAGTCCACTAGCTGGGATATTTTTTCTATTCTTACAGTGTGGTGCATATTTTTAAACAAGAAAATATCTCTCACCATAAAGGGTGTGTGATGTCCCAAAGCAAGGAGCCGTAAACCCATTCCATGTAAAATGTTGATCATTCCTGTCACAGAGTCAGACCAATATAAAGACCATTAGCTGAGTGTAGGCGAATATCAATGTACAAAATACATTCAACTCTTAAGCACGGATCAAGAGAAATTATCAATTTTCCACCTTGACCATTTCTCTACCTGTTTAGTCCTGAGGAAACACAGACCACAGTGTCTCAGCATTGGGAGGGATCTCAGTGATCTGATAGCTCTTTATTATCAGGAATTAATTGGCCTTAGCCTACAGGCATCCCCAACTCCCCTTCCAGATGGGTTCCATCTTGTTGTCCAAGGTTAAATTCTCTACCCTGGCTGTAGATCCCATCCCTCCCTGCCTCCCCAAGGAACTCCTTCTTGAATCACTCCCCCATCATCTCTCTCTATTGGTTCATTTTTATCAATATTTATAGATGCTCCCATTTCTCCCACACCAAAAACACACCAGTAAACAAAAACAAAGTTATCAGTGACCCTAGAGCCCTCTCCAGCTATTTAGAGAGCTAAATGACTGAATTTGTTGGACACCTTGCAGACCTTGGCATACCAGAAGTGAATGGCAATACAGACCCCTCTTGATGAAACGTTCTCTTCCCTTAACATCCCTGACTGGAAAGAGTCCATCCTACCTTTTTACAGTCTCCTATTTCCATGTCACTCCTTTCATATTACTCTTGAGGTTTTGTCCTAGGCTCTACTCCATATCTATATAGTTCTTCTTGAGTAATCTCATCCAGCCGTAAATTTCAAGTCATCTTTGTATGCAGATAACCCTAAGTCTTTACCTTCAACACAGATTTTTTTCCTTTGAGTTCAAGACCTACCCAATTATCTGTAGTAAGTCTCAGATTTGGATATCCCTCCGACACCTAAAAATGCAGCATACCTGTAGCATTCAGCATGCAATCTCCCCTTCTGTTATGGAATAAAACTTTTCATGCCATATTCCCTCCTCCAACACACACACACAAGTTCCTAACAAGTTTTCTTTTATCATTTTTATAAAGTCAACTTCTAAAGAAATAATGTATATACCTTTAAATATCCCAATTTAAAGTACAGAGTTTGATAACTGTTACAAATATGCATACTCTGTTATCACTACCATAATCAAGTTCAGAACTTTTGGTCCCTGACAACTATTACTATTGCACTCTATATAGATAAGGTTCTTCTACTGTTTCATACAAATGAAATTATAAGCCTGTGCTCTTTAGTTGTCTTTATGCTTTCATTCAGCATTATTTGTTTGACGTTTGTATCCATACTTCCTTCTTTTTTCTTGCTGAAAAGTTTTCCATCTTATGTTTATAGCACAATTTATCCATTTGTCTCTTTGTGTACTTTTGGGCCGAATGAAACTATTATAAAAATTCTTTATATAAAACACTGCATTTCTTTTGATAAATGACTATGAGTAGAATTTATTTTCTACATCAATACTTACTTTTTAAATTTCTTCTCGCAGCAGTTTTTCTACTTTGCATATTTCAAGGGTTTGTTTAGTTTACACAGGTTCTCTCTCAAATTTATTGGCCTGTTCTTAATATTCATTTATCCCTTTAATATTTGTAAAATACAACATAATACCCCTCTTAATGTGCCTTTATAGTAAGTAATGTCTTTTCTCTTTGCTATTAGTCTATGTGTTTGTTAATTTTATTGATAACTGGGCTGTGCATTCTTATACTCTCTCTCTCTCTCTCTCTCTCTCTCTCTCTCTCTCTCTCTTACTTCCTGGAATAATCTCTCTCTCTCTCTCTCTCTCTCTCTCTCTCTCTTACTTCCTGGAATATTTTTAGTTATTCTTAAAATCAAAGCCTGGAAGCATTGCTTTAAGAAGCATCTCCAACAGTCCTTCCTATAGCAACTATCACCAACACGTGCATGCTTTCTTGCCTGGATACTTCTTTAAGAATACGAACCACATCCTACTAACAGGTGTGGTGCTGCTTCTGAAAGCAGTGACTTGTGAATGAGTCAACTTATTTCTGATACCCTAGTTTTCTCCAGACAAAACTCTCATCTGATAGATCCTGCGAAGAACAGTCAAGAGAGGTCTTCCCGTCACTATTCCATATTAAGAAATCTAATTTTCTGTTACTGTAACAGAACTAATATGTGTGTTGAGTGAGGAAAGGTATGAAGTAAGAGTTGAAATACAAAAATATAAATTATAATTTCAACCTAAATGTCCCTCAACGTCTTCTGTGTTTGGCAGCTGACTGGATCGCGGTTACACTACATCATCAGTGAAGCCATCCACCTTGAGTGCAATAGTTTATGTTCTGTTAGGAAATGGGGCCTTTCTAACACACTGAGGCTACGGCCTGGCTGTTTTCTTGTTCCCAGCTCCTCTTTCTCCTCCTCTCACTCTGCTTCCTGGCTGCCATAAGGTAAGCACCTTCCCTCCACCACACACTTCCACCATGTTTCTGTCACGGAGCCAGCAGACCATGGACTGAATCCCCTGACCATGAACCAAATTAAACCTCTCTTCTTTGAAGTTGTAAGTGTCAGGTATTGTGTCCAGCATCAGGAAAGCTTACTAATACACAATGAATTCTTTTTAAGTAAAAAGAATTTTGTGAGTTTCAAGTTTTGCTTTATTATTTTACTCTCTAAGTGGGTGGATTATAGTATAATAAGAAGCTAAAATTTAGGAATCTTCTGAGAGTATTCATCTCTCAAACTACATAGCATTTTAAATTTTTTCTAATGTCTGAGTATTTCTTGAGTGGTAGACCATGTTATTTGTAAAAGTACCCTCAGATTCCAAATAATGTTAACTTTTGCATAACTAAATAATATAAATATGTAATTTAATGAAAGTTTACTTTAGGGAGGCAAAGGCAGACTAGTCAACACAAAATCACAGTGACACAAACCACAGTGAGGAATCTTCCACTTTTACATAGTAATGTTAAGCACTGCCCTAGTTATGACTTTCCTTATTAGACCTTCTAGAAGTCTACTCTGATTCAGAGCCAAAATATACTTTTAGCTTTTCCCAACTAAGTTTCAAAGTACAATTAGGGCAAAAGTAGATCAGAGATTTTTTTTTTTTTCCTGACTGAAGCCCTTGTCCTTTCTAGAAGGCTCTTCTGACAGTTTTCCTGTACTTTTTACTTTTTCTGTTTCCCTACTTTCTATTTCCCAATGTAACATCACCAAATGGATCTCTCTAGACTTCCAAATACGACTATCCAAAAAGTCAAAGCCAGGGCCTGGGATTTAGCTCAGTGGTTTGGTGGCCTGCCTTGCAAGCTCAAGGACCCGAGTTCAATCCCTGGTACCCCCCCATCCCCGCGCAAAAAGAAACCAAAAAGTCAAAGCCTGTTTCTGGATATTACGTTTCTCCCTGCTTTCTTTTTGGTTTTGGTGTTTGTAATAAAATATTTTAATGATTTATCTCCTTCTTCTATTCCTCTGATATGTACCGGTCTTCATTCAGCACATTCCTATGTTGATTTTATCACTGGAAATAAATACTCTCATCCTCTTGACACAGAAAAAACATACAGCAGATTTAGAAAGTGAATGACATAAAAGCCCTGACATACCTACCTGCCACTCCTGCCCACTGTCCAAATGCCACTACCCGTGATCCTCTATGATCCACCATTTTCTCATAATCAATAAGCCGGATTTCCTAAACAAAGGATAAAAAATTTCTCAACCAGATCTGTTAAGGTCAACTGCAATATATAAAGCACATATATAAACAAGTAAGTAGTTTGAATTTTTTTTAATATATCTTAACTTGATCACCTAAGTTACCAGGTGCACCAAGAATTATTCAGAAAACACTAGATCACAAACCAATTATCTCTTGTACTTAGAGATGGAAAAATGCTCCCAGTGGGTGCTAAATGCCCCTTGATGATAGGCAATAAAATAAAAGCGGGATTTTTTTCACTTTTTGACACTCATGCCCCAATCATACTGTATCAACTACAAATATGTATTTATACAGCCCCTCTTATCTTCACATTACTCCTTCCAGCCTCAAAGAAAACAGGTCCTTCCTGAGACAAATCCCTGTGAGCAAAACAGCCTTTATCCACAGCCCCTAAGACCACTCCTGTTGAACTGTTCTCTCTTCCCTGCATCATCCCCTTCACAGTGCGGCTCAGCCATTCTGAATACTCCCAGGCCCTTTCTGCCTGAAAAAGAGTAACGACACAGACACAAAACTCCCTTCCAGAGACACACAGGTCTCTGTCTCTGTCTGTGTCTCTCTTCTCTCCTCTCTCCTCCCTTCATCTTCTTCTTTCACTTTCTTCTTCTATCCTTTTACTGGTAAGCTTTATTTTATTTATTTTATTTTATTTTATTTTTTTGCAGCAGGGCTTGAACTCGGGACCTTGCGCTTGCAAGGCAGGCAGTGGAACCACTGAGCTGAATCCCCAGCCCTGGTAAGCTTTATTTTAAAAAGTAGGACAGGGGCAGGCGATTTAGCTCAGCGGTTCGGTGGCCTGCCTTGCAAGCACAAGGACCCGAGTTCAATCCCAGGTACCAGAAAATAAAATAAAAATTAAAAAAATAATAAAAATAAAAAGTAGGACAGGGGCAGGCGATTTAGCTCAGCGGTTCGGTGGCCTGCCTTGCAAGCACAAGGACCCGAGTTCAATCCCAGGTACCAAAAAATAAAATAAAAATTAAAAAAATAATAAAAATAAAAAGTAGGACAGGCTGCCTGCATTTTTTTCTTCCCATTTGCCAGAAGTACATTCTTCCTCTTTCTTCATTACTACTTTATGCCCAAAAGCTACTTGTACATTTAATTACAGAATGCTTTAAATAGGCATTTTATTTCCTCAAAGATCATAAAACTTAAAGTCTGCAGAATAGCTTAGTGATATAACACAGAACTTTTGTCCAGCATGCGCAAGGCCCTGGGTTTCATCCCTAGCACTGCAAAATAAATACAATATTTACCATGCGTATGAATTTAAGAATACTTAACATATATCTAACTTCAAGTAATTAGTTATGAAGTGCAGCCAGAAAGTAGTCCTGCTGGGTCTGCTTTGATTCATTTTCTGTGTTGAACAAAAGTTCATATGACAAAAATAGTCTCCAAACCAAAGAGTTTATTTTTCGAAGGTGGAATAATTTTGTGGAATGAATTTCATCAATTACCTTTGAATCTGTTCTTTGGAAACAGTGCAAATTAACTTTAGGCAAGGTCCAGTGTGTTCTTTTATATAATATACATTTCCCCCCACTGCTTTCACTGTTGATGAACTTTCCTATCCTCTGCACTATTTTGAGATTCTAGTCTATTTCTAACACGCTAACATCCTTTCCCCAGGACCCAGGGCTTAAATGACTTTATCTCCACTCACTTTCGAAACTCACCCAATCTTGTGACTCTAGATAATGTCTCATCCCTGACAACTACCAAATGTGTGTTGGGAAGAGCAGCCCTCCTGAGCTGAGGGCTAATGACCACCCTGACCACCCTGAAAGAGCTAATGGCGGAGACAGCTTTAGCCTTCCCCAGCCAAGCATACTTTTCTCACAGCAGCACTATTTCAAATTACGGCAGCTCCTTCTAGCTACACGAGCCAAAACTACGGTCATATCAAACTCCTCTCCTCTCATGTGTCACCTGCTTTTCACCAATTAACTTTTTAGGATGTGCTTCTAAAATGAACCAGGACTATGCACACATCTTATGTATCCATCCTCTGTCTTGTCCCACTAGTATGTAGGTGCTAGGAGCACAAGGGTCACTGACTGCTTTGCTTTCTCATTACAGTGTCAGAGACATCATGGACACTCAACAAATATTTGTTAAAGAAATATTCTGTATTTTGGGAGCTCCCAGTTTTTCCACAGTATTTATATCTCACATATACTTTTCTCCCCCTGTGAATATTGGCAAACGTAAAATGCATCTGGGGCCCAGTTCTGGCACCACAGAGCTGTGCAAGCTCAGTCGCGTCATTTCACCCCTGACCACCGCGTGAAAAGTGCGTGTGAAGAAGTGTGACCTGTGAGAGTCTCTCAACTCGAAAATTCTACTTGGTGGCATCTATCCAATTGCCCTTATGAACTCTAATTGAGGGAGAAGCTTTTGTACTTCCTTCTATCTTGGAATATAAAAGGAATGAAAGTATCTGGTTCCCCTTATTACAAACTCCAAATCTATACAGCAGAGGAGCCACAAAAAGCAGCGGAGCTATTCAAACACCACCTCAGTTATCGCCTCTCCTGCGGAGCTGAATAGGATAAAGTATTTGCTAGATACTAAAAGAAAACTAACACTCCACTTTGGAGTGAAACAATTAATTTCCTCTTTTCACATTTGTGAACATTGGTCTCTAATTACCTGTTTCAGAACCTCATCCAACAAGTGCATGTTTGCTTCCTGAGCTTTGATTGTGTGTGAGAAGAATGCATAAGTCTTCTTGGACATTAACTTTTCCTCCGGAGGTCTTTTAACTCCCAAAATTAGACAAGCTTCAGATATGTCCTCCTGAAGAATGCCACCAGCTTTGACATATTCCTGGGGATGCAATTTTGGTTAACAGTTATTCTCCTGGCTTGTGGTACTTGTACTTTCTCTAATAAAAAGTGTATCACTTAAAAGCACAAGCTTTTGAAGGACTAAAATTTGTATGGTTTAGAACAAATAATAATGCAGCTACTTCTCATGTCTGTACTCCCTGGTCAAAGTTAAATCTATTGTGTTTGACTTTTACAACAAAAATTTAGAAAATTCAGTGCATACTCATTTTTAAGAACAAAGTTTGATCACAACCACCAGCACCTATGGTTTAAAAATACTTATGAAACGTACATTGTGTATCAATAAGAAAATTGAATAGCAAATGTCAAAGTGATTTGTTATTCAAATCACTTGTATTGTTAAAAAATAGGGTATTTCTCCAACATTATTTTGCATTTTTGTTTCAATTAGTACTTATTACTGTTTTAATCTAAGCATTGGACTGAGATGAGATGATAAAACACAAAGAAAAATAGACAAGAGCCCTCCTGTAAAGGAACTCACAAAATACAGTGAAAAGAAAAAAATCAGAAGTATAGCAAATAAAACCAAATTCAAAAGAACATTATGATCAGCAAGATTTAAGTGATATGTTAATTTAATAAACTGTGAAATAATTCTCAGAAGTCATGCTCAAAGAACTATGGAAATGTAGGTTAATTTGAAAAGCTGATGGTATTTGCAAGAAGCCCAGAAATACAAGATAGTAATATCAGCAAGAGGCAATGAAAGTGTATACACAAATGTGGAAGTAAGAAAGAAAGGAGATGCCTAGGGCACTTGGACAAGTCAGTTTGGAGAAGCAAGTTGAAATCATCATGGCTAATTTGAGTTCAACTGGATAATCAATGATAACAATTGGTATTTATTAATAAATTACTATGTATTTAACCAAGCTCTATATATGAATTATCTCATTTAATTCTCACAAAACTTTCATGAGATAGGTAAAAATTATTATTCCCATTTTCTCCATGGAAAACATGAAGCTTGCACATTTAATGGAGATGCGCTTGTTAGTACGTGCAAGCAATTCATAGTCATATAAGATCTCGAAATGAAGGTCGGTGCAATCCAAAAAGAATTTAAAAAACATTTATGGTAGCATTTAAATAAAATGAAGATAAATTTAGTTAGGAATATACTCCAAAGTTTAGATGGATAGGAAAAGCAATAAATGCATAAACATAGTTTAGCCCTGGCTTCTTGGAAAACAGCCCATGTGCCCAGTCATAGTAGACTGGTTAAACAAATCATGATAAATCTTTACAATGCAGAGCTTATCCCACAGCCATAACCAGAATGAGACAGATCTTTTCAAACTGACACAGAATGATGTCTAAGATATGTTGTTCATTTTAAAAAGTAAGGTATATAGGGCCAGGGATTTAGCTCAGTGGATCCAGCGCCTGCCTCGCAAATGCAAGGACCCAAGTTCGATCCCTGGTACAAAAAAAAAAAAAAAAAAGAAAGAAAAAAAAAGTAAGGTACAAGGCTGTATACATACAATGTAATCTTCTGCATAAAAACAAAAAGGAAATAAATATTCATACACTTACAAATGCACACAGGTTCTTATTTTTGCAAAAAGAAACAAGAATGATAGATCGCAAACTATAGGTGGCAGAAACCTTTGAGGTTGGTATGAATGAGATGCAAGAGATCAGAATGAAAGCAAGACTGAATCTAGGAAACTGGTAAATGTTATACTTATTTTAAAAATTAAATCGAGATTTAAAAGTAAACTTAAAATTCAATAGAAACAGTAATATAGGAATTTATGTGGGTATCAGATTGATAATATTTACCATATAGGAAAAGAATCAAATAAACTGTAAACACAGCTTTTTAAATTTGGGGATACAATACAATCTAAAGGCAAAAAAATAAATACTTAAAAGAAATATGAAACTTCATGTAATGGGCTTATTGTTAAGAGTAATAATTATTAAGAGTATTGTGGTTCTTATGAGGAATTATGATTTTTACTATTGGATACAAAGGCAAGAAAACATTGCAATTTTAAGTTTTAACTGGAAATAATATTAACTGATGATTAAATAACATACACGTATGTGTGTGTTTGCCTCCATTTGTTGTTTATTGCTTGATGGGATTATTTGTGAGTTTGTTTTTGTTTCTGTGGCACTAGAGATTGAACCCAGGGCCTCATACACAATAAGAAAGCATCTCACCACTGAGCTATAATCCTAGCACTATCTATCCAGCCATCCATCTATCTATCTATCTATCTATCTATCTATCTATCATCTGTCTATCTCTATATTAAGACAGTGTCTTGTTAAGTTTCCCAGACTGGCCTATAACTTGCAATCCTCCAGGCTCAGCCTCCCTTGTAGCTGGTATTTGGAGTGTACACTACCACACCTGGCTTTCTGCTTCTATTTGTTGAAAGGACCAATGATATCTCAATAACAAACAAGCACATCTTAAATCAGACAAAAGATCTTAGTTTCTACATACTAAAAGAAATCAAAGTTTCTTGGTGAAATAATTTCAGGTGTGAGGCAGGAAAAGTACAAGGTGACATAAGGATACTATGTTACTCCAGGAAATAGGAAAGCTCAAAGATAAATGAATTAATGCCCAAAGACTGCAGGAGTCTCTTCTTGAAAGGATTCCCAGTAACCAAACTTGAGATTATTAGGACATTTAAAAGTAATGCTTAGTGGGTTGAATGGAAAAGATCCATTTTCTATAATGATACTCAAAAGAGCCAAAGAAAGGGAAAGCAAAGGGAAGTGTTTTTCTAAACCAGAATGTCAGCAAATTCAGAAGAGTAACAATTTCAGGAAAGCATCAGTTTGCATATAAAAACTAATCCAGGAAAAGGCTATCAGTGGATGTTCCCATTGTTAGTTGAAATATCGTTGAGGAACAAAAACAACACAGGTCTCAAAATGTCACCCCACTGATAACTCGGTAATTGCAAAGGGAGAAAGGCACTTTCTCAGTGGAGAGTTCTAGTGGTAAGAACCTCACAGAGATCATGAGTTCCTAACTATGAAACAACCTGATTTTGAGCTTCTGATAGGATGCAAGGGGAAGAACACAGATCACTTTTATTTGTGCCCAAAATTTTTAGCCTGAATCTAATCACAAGGAAACAACCAGACTAGCCCTACCTAGAAGCAGAACATTCTACGAACCAACCAGTTTATCCTCTTCAAAAAGAGTCAACATCATTAAAACAAAATCAGAAAGGGAGGAGCCACTCGAAATCAGAAGAACTAAAGAAACATGAGAATAAATTATGATGAAACTTAGTTAGGCCTCAATTAAACTAAAAGACATTTGAGGCAATGGGGAATTTGAACAAAGACCTTAAAGAAATAATGTCATGCGGAAATAATATAGGGGTTCTATAGCAAATGATTTAGTCCTAGGAGATGCGTGTGAAAGCACTTAGTACTAAAGTGTGAGAATGTCTGCAAATTACTTCCAAATGATTCAGGAAAGTACAAGTATGTGTATATGTGTATATTTCGGAAATGGGAACAAACTTCTAACCCCTATCATAAAATTATTGTGACAAATACACAGAATAATGAAGGAAAATAGCTTCTCAAAGTGGTTGGCCAGGAATCCTCTCGTTAATAAACTCTACGTGAAGAAGCATTCTCTGGGTGCGAGAATGGAGTCTTTTTTCCTTTAAATTAATTAATTTTTTGGTACATTTTTAGATATACATAAGAATGGTCTCTTCATTGTCCTTAATCTTCCTAGTACCAGAGTTAAAGCTTCATATGAAGGAAAGAAAGTCTGAAGGGTATCAGTTTCTAAAAGCAGACCCTTTAGGCCTTAGCTGGTGAAAGAACAGAATGGGGTAAAAGTAACATCCTTAAATCAGCGACGGAAAAGGATTGAAATGACACTGGCACATTTCATTTTCATTCATATGCTTCTTAAGTTTCATATCCAAGTTCACTTTATTCATACAAATTCACAGAAAAAGTTGGAAATAGTCACCTTATCATGAATGGCCCGCCGATTAGAAGGCTGTATCAAGACCTTGTATCCCAGATTGGTGATCCCTTTGATGTGCCTGGGGGCCAGAGGTGCCCTTCTCTCCCAGGCATTGACGTCCTCTCGCCTGAGGGCCATCACAGCTCTGTGGTGGAGACCTCTGCAGAGGCTGAACTTCAGCCCATCCAATGTTGTTCTCCGTACTCGCAGCATCTTGAAACCTGGTGACTGTAAATGTTAGGTGGGACAATGGGACAACAAAAGCAGGTGGGCTCACAGATCAGTTCTGGTCGCCTTAAGAAATCTGCTGTAAAAACAACCAGCCTAAACAATACCAGGTACAGATAAGCAAGAAGGAGGGGAAAACCTAAGTAGAAAATGTTCCTTAGGGCTGGGAATTTAGCTCATTGGTTCCAGCACCTGCCTCACAAGTGCAAGGACCCAAGTTCGATCGCCAGTACCAGAAAAAAAAAAAATGTTACTTTACCCAACTCAAGTTTCTCTAAATTAGGTTATTCAGTTTCAAAAGAAAATATTAACAATATATGTGACACTAATCAATAACTACCAAGTCAACATAGCTTTTACAATATTTTTTTATCGAACATGTTTTCAACACAGAAATGTTAAACAAGTTAATATACCATGGAAAGGCAGGAAGATAACAGAGAGCAACCCATACGGATTGGTCCCAACTTTTAGCGCTAAAGCTCTACATTCTTATAGTGGGGTTCACAGAACCTTCACTATTCATTGCCAACAGGCCTTCAGCTTCGTCTCTGACTGTTTCCTAATTCCTAAGAAAGGTACTCTCAGTGAGTTCTGCCATCTAAGGTCAGTTGGTGAACTGTCTTTTTGGTTTTTGTTTTTTTTTTTTACTGGACCATGATGAGATGTGAGGAGAAATAGAAAGTAAGTATTTTCTAGTCATTCTTGCTAAATTTTACAAAAAATGCAGGTCCTTAACAGACTGTGATTTAAGAATACCAACCAACCAAACCTGTTCCTTCAGGTATCAAAAGCTGAAGAAGCACAGCCTTGGACACTCTGTCCCCACCTTATTCTCCCTGAACACCTCCCTCACTGTTCCTCCTCACTGCTCCAAACACACTTTCCTCCTGCCTGTTTTTCCTCCATGTCCTGCAACCATGTGCTCTACAGCCCAGCCTGCCTCAGCAAGTTTTCTAACTGCCGTTCCTGATTGCAAAATTCCACTCAGTTAGTCAATCAAAAAAAAATTACAAAAGACTTACTCTAAGAGTAAATTTTACATAAGGTTTCATATATAAATATTTAACAGTGTTTATTCTTTCTTTAAATGGTTACATATATTTTATAGACAAACATCACTGCAGTTGACAATTTGCTGGATCATTTGGAAACTTACTTTTCCATGTATGGTTGGTAGCAAAATATAAGGACTATATAACTTCTAGAAATTTCTACAAGGACTATATAACTTCTAGAAATTCCGACCCACGATTTTACACCCTGCTGAATTCCCTAACCATAATTACTATCTTAGAGCAAAACTTTTATGCAACACATTTCTGTTACATCTACTGCACTCTTTGAAGAGCACCTCCCTTCAAATGGGAAAGCTTTGACCAAACACAGAAGCGTACATTCCCTGGAGGCAAATAGCTACTCGCTACCTACAAAGGCTAAATTTATAGGACTCTCCACAACAGATTCAGAGAACAGAGCAAACAGCAAGGAGTCCTTCTAAGAAGGCCTTAGGAAGAAGAGACTCAAGAAGAGATAAAGCTGTACAAAGTAAGACAAATTATTGATGGATAGCTCGGGTTTTGACTTAGGGCAAAGGATTCAGGCCAAAACGGGTCAGTCATCAACATTTCAGCAAAATGGTGTTAATACAGTATCTAATGGGGGGGTGTCATATGTAGTTTTTTTTCCTATCAGATTACATTAAACTCAAGCCCAAACCCATAACATTTTGCGTTCCCCAAGCCAAACGTAACCTGGAATGTCCCATGGAATTTGAATCTCTTTGTTTCCAAACACAGTAAAAGCAATTCCAAAGAGAGTGACTCTTGAATACAGCTATAGGCCGAGAAATGGTCCCCCATTTCTGGAGGAGCTCTAGTTCCTAAACTCCTAGATGATTAAAGGCCTTCTATCTTTTTCTTTTGGCCCTAAATGTAATCACGTGTTCAGATATTTCAGTACCCCTTTCTCCTCAAGGTCGACTGCACCCACCTTTACTTATTGATAGCTCCTCCCACTCCTTTGAGGGAAGGGCGGGGGAGGCAGCCGGTACACATACATTTGCAAAGGCAGACTGTCTAGGAGAACCAAGAAGATGCAGAGAGAGCTGGTAGAAACTGAACTGGGATTCACTTAGGGACTTCCTATTTTCACTTTCACTTTTTGTAAGGAACTGTAAAATCACCATTCCTGTAACTTTCATTTTTTAAGCAACTATAACAATAGTTACCACTGATTAAACAATCTATAGCAAGCACTATGTTGAGTCCTTCGCAGATATGGTTTCATTTCCTTCTTGCAAAAATCTTATTTGGCAAATACTATTATCATCTCCACTTGACAGATGAAAAAACTGAACTCAGGCCTGATCGTTGTTTTTAACTAGGAAGTTTGCAAGGTTAATGCTTAACACCAGGGATTTTCTCTTCTGCCAGAGCTGACAGTGCCACAGCACACAGGTCTGACACAAGCTGTTACTCGGGCCAGTTCTCGTTTCAGACAATCAGATCCATATGGCATCCACTTTACAGTTGCAGTAAATTATCCTCTCTCCCCTCTCAGCATGTGTTGCCTCTCTCAACCCCTACTCCTCTGTTTTACCAACAATCTACCCTGAGTCCCTGCCAAATTCTAGATTTCTAGGTGCTTAGAAAGAAAGGTCTAGGGCCAGGGATTTAGCTCAGTGGTTCTGCTGCCTGCCTCACAAACACAAAGACCTGAGTTCAATCCCTGGTGCCAAAAAAAAAAAGAAAAGAAAGAAAGGTCTGGTTCTAGCAGGTATTAACTGTTCATAACCTCTTGAACCTAGAAACAGTCTCAACATTTCTGGTTATCTAAGGTCGTCATGAAAAGGTAATAGAGAGGATTTCTGATTTGCACTGCAGTAAGTATATTAATAGCTGTTTGCAGCATCCCCATCCAACACTTTTTTGATCTTCTTCAATAATTTCAGGAAGTAAATGCAATGCACATTTCTGACAATGCTTTCAATGAATTAAGGAGGATTCTGGTTTATCTGCTGGCCCCAGTGAGGTCAAGACAGGGTACTGAGTGCTGCTGACAGCGTGTGGCATGAGTACCAAGTTGGTCAGAGAGCAAAGGAGGAGAGGGGAAGAACAGGAAAGGGCTAAGAATAAGGAGAGGGAAATAAAATGTGAAAGGAGGGTGTCACATAAACAGAAGAGGGGAAAAAGATACTTCTGAAAGTTCTACCAATTTTTCTTTCCACCCATGAAGACCAACCTTTCAAATATAAAAGTAAAATTTTAAAGATTTCTTTTCTATGTTTTCTGGAACAAAACAGCATCATAGTATGCATTTTAAAATATCTAGGATTGGCATACAAGTCATGGGATTTTACAGTGAATTGCACCGAGATGTACTAAGACAAGAAGACAATCAGGGAATAGAACCTTTGCTAACTATAGGAGAAGTTACTCTATTATTATGGATTATATCTAGACCCCGCCCCCAAGCCTCTTGCACTAATAGGTGTGACTTTTGGGAGTGATTGGATCATGGGTGTGTGATACTGTTTGACCACTAATTGGTTCTAAAGCGGATGATGGACTTACTGAAGGACAACCCACCCTGGGTATGGGAGACACCAACCAATAGGCTTGCAGCCTGAATGGAAGAAAAACAGAAAGTAAAGTCTCACTGTCTCCTGCCTACTTTACCATAAACCGTTTCTCCTCTGTGATGCCCTTCTGCCATGCTGCTTACCTTGGAGCCAGCCAACTATGGACAGAAATCTCTACAAATTGAGCCAAAATAAACCTCACCTACTTTAAGTCGTGGGTGTTGGGTACTGTGTCTAAGCAATGAGAAAGTAGGGGGAAAGGAAATAAGGGAAAAGAAAAATTATGAGAAAAGGAAAAAATGGAAACAAAGTCTTTGTGGGGGGGGGTAAAGGGAGGGAAGGGGTATGGGGAAAAAATGAGAACCAAGACCTGTCATGTAAAGGTACAAGATCCCAATGATAAATGTAACTGTACTATATACTTTAAAAAGTACCAAGGGCAGGGGACTTAGTTCAGTGGTTCTGCAGCCTGCCTCGTAAGGGCAAGGTCCCGAGATTGATCCCCGGTACCAAAAAAACAAAAACAAAAATAAATAAAAAGTACCAATAAATTCAGTGAAAAAAAATTAAAATTAAAAAATAAAAGACAATAACTAACACATGTATGATACCATCTTATGCCTTTTTCCATTTCTGGGAGTGGAGGAGACTTAAGAATTTATTTTATTACTGCTTACCTCATTTTTCAATGCATACTCAAGAATCAGGGAAAAGCACATGTTTGAATGTTTTTTTGTATTTTCTATACTTAAGAAAATGAGAAAGAAACCATCATTATACAGGTAGATGAATGGATCAATAGATAGATGATATAGGTATCGGATAGAGCTAGACAGACAAAGACACAGAGGGACAAAGCTGGCACCCCATACATATCACACCATTTCTTTTCAGTGAGCATGAACTCTTCCATGGTGTTCGACTGCATAATAATTCTAAATCACACAAAGAAATTAAGGCAGAGTTTGTCAGGTATGTCTACAAAAGATTAAGTTAGAGGAAAATCCATCCTCAGAACAGAAGTGGTGAAGCAGATCTTTTCAGACAATGAGCAGGCTGGTCTTCTGTACAATATTTCTATTCATATAAAAGAGTGAATCATTTGTTTTTAGAATTAATATTTGCTAATACTAAAATACAAACATAATGCATTCAGAGTATTTTTTGATAGAGTTATCAAAATACAGTCTTTTTTCCACAGATCATGAGTATTTTTTTAATCTTAATTCAAGAAATATTTGAGGCTCCTCAAGGTGTGCACAGTATTATGTTAGGCACTTGGGAAAGATATAAGGAAGCAGCAATCCTGTTCGTGCCCATCTTCATGGGGTCTTAGGGAATGGGATGGAGTAGTTTTATTTAATTAAATGATGCCAACCAAAACCTGATGATTAGTCTTCAATTACGGATAGAGCTA